TCTTGTAATCAATTTACAACTCTTTAAGATCGAGTTTTATCAGTGTAAAATTAATTTTAGTCTGGGTTTAACTTAAAGTTTATCTTTTCCTAAAACTCTTAGAAAAAGATAAAAAGTAAGTTAAGTCCAGATTAAAGTTATCTTATCTTGGTGACCCATTTCTACCAATGTAAATTCACTTTAATCTTAGTTGTTATTCTTTATCCTTCTTTAATCCTTAAAATTAAGAGAAAAATAAAGAATGAGTTAAATCAAGATTAAAATGATATTATATTGATAGAGATGGGCATAAGTCACAAATTAAGCTCGATGATCAAATCGATTGATAAAAGAAATTTGAATGACGAAATTCCGACAATTGACAATTGCTTCCTCATTGAATACATATCGTATAACTATCACTTTTCCGCCATCTACTTTTATATTTGTTATCTGTAAATACATATGTAAAAATTTCAATCACATAATACGACAGTTTTGACGAAATTTTAAACAGTGACATTTACCTTTGACGATATGATGTTGAAAATGCACCTTGAACTATGGGAATTCGGATATTTCTTCTTTCCGTTTCTCTTTTTCTACTGGTTTTTTTTTACACGATCGAGAAAAAAAGGCCGACAAAGGAATGCGATCCTTACCCGCGAAAGCTCACCACGTGACTGACGGGAATAGGTGTATCCGTCGCTGCCGGGAAAAGCCAAACAGAAATCTCCTCACCGCGCAGACTCGTTGGCGGATGGGGCACAAAATAAAATGAGACATGCGTGTGTTTTTGGATTTTTCTATCGTGATTGTGCTATATCTCAAATTTTTCATTTAAATTGATTTTAGAAAAACGGCTGAAAACAGAAAATGCAAAGCAACACAGACCTCTCTGTGACCTCTGTCATGCATTACTTCCGAAAGAAAAATAACACCGATCTTTTTAATATTTAAAAAAAAAACATAAAAGTTTATTTTTGAAAATTGCAAAAAAAAAGAAACGTTTGATTAATATTAATACAATTATTTATAAAGACATTTTGTTGCTATTTTTGCTGTACTTATAGCTTGAATTTTCACTTTCGCGGAAAAAATGTTATCTTCTAACGATATCCTGACAATTTTGAACAATTTGAAATTTTTTGCAATAAAATTTTTTCTTAAGTAATTTATATATATATATATA